GGATCTGGGGGTGGTGTGTGTCGCCGAAGCCGCACGCCACCGGAGAAGAAAGGTGCTGCAGATCTGTTCGCGAGTCGCTCTTCGCTCTTCGCTGGTCGCAAGTCGTCGCCGGCAAAGGCAGCCTAAACACAAGAGGGGACAGAAGGAGAAAGGGGAAAAAGGAGGCCAGGATCTTTCCAAAACGCAGGACGAGATGATGTCATGATTGGGTTCAATGACGTCATAAATAGGAGTTTCTCTTCATCCTTCTTTTTTTCAATTTAAAAACACAACCATTTCTAAAAGATTAAGATAAGAAAGATCCCATTTGGAAGATTATCGATTTTAAAACAAAAGATAATATCTAGAAACCAAAAATTAAAGCTTGACTTTTTAGTTTAGGATTCAAATAAAAATCTCTTTCTTAAAAATCCTAGAAATTTAAGGCTCGGTTGGTGATGGTGTTGTTTATTGTTTCCTATTTCTTATTTTTAATTTTTCTACAACTAGAAACATAAATATATTTGATATATCATTTCTGTAAATATGTTTGATAACTATTTCTTGTTTTTTGATTTTATTATTATATCTTTTAGTACAACAACTTGTAGCGGTTAGGATTCGAATTCACGACCTCTTGATCGAGAATTTATATCTTAATGGTTAGTTTTTTTATTTTTTTTAGTTAAATAAAATTTAGTAAATATAATATAAAAAGATATAACATAGGCTCGAATACTATAATTTATTAAAGAAAATATATATAAAAGTATAAATTATTAGCTTTAAATAAAGAATAAAATTTCAAAATATCTTAATTAAAAATATAAAATATGAAAAATAAATTTATACTTTATAATTTATAATTTATTAAAGAAAATATAATTTACTATATAAATTTCTTCCATACAAAGATAGAAATTATTAGTTTAAACAAAGAATAAAATTTCAAAAATAAAATTAATTTGAAAAATAGAAAATTTTTGTTTAAGAAAATATAATAGCTTTAAATAAATAAATAATATTTATTAAAAAAAACTCACATATCATGGGAGTCCAACTCTTGCATGTGAGAGATCAATTGAAAGCACCACCTATTATGTGTTATGGCACAAGATATATTATATAATCTAAAGTATCACCTACACATAAAAAATTAAAAAATAAAAAATAAATTACTTTTTGTAGTTTCGAAAATTGGTCCTTTTTTTTAAACATTTCTCAAAATTTAGAAACGAAAAACAGGATTAGTTACCAAACACGTTTGTTTATTAGAAAATGAGAAAGAATGACAAGAAATAGGAAACTTGAAATGTTACCAAATGGACCTCTAATTTATCTACACTAGCAATACCAAAAATAAAACTAAATAACCTAATTCAAAGGCAAGAAAACCCAAATTTTTAATTTGCCACAATAGATAAAGAATTTTAAAGCATGAATTAAAAGTTGAACTAGTATAAACGGAAAATGTAAGGCATCAGAGTTTAGAAGAATCCAAAATCTTAAAAATGCACCTATAATTAAAATACACTAAGTTTGTTTTTAGAGTAACACAAGAGTTGTGAAACTTCTCAGAGAAAGTACTTAGATTTGTAGTGGTATTTATAAGTACAAGTACATAGGTTGTTACAATATAAAGGCCTTAAAATAGTTGGCCTAAGGTTAATATCTAAAAATAACAAGCTAGACTAAATCATGGATTAAGTTACAAGACCAAATCAAAAGGAGGTCTAAGTACTACTACTTGTTTCAATATTTCCCCTCAAACTTGAGGGTGGGTTTGACAACCCAAGTTTGACCTCCATTAGACTAAATGATAACGTTCTAAGAGGGTGGGTCATATCGTCTGCAATTTGCTCCTCTGTTGGCACGTACCTGAACTCAAGTTCTTCTCACAAAGTGCATATCAATTTCAACGTGTTTGGTCTTTACATGGTAAACAGGGTTTGTTGCAATCGCAGCAACAAAGAGGTTGTCACACCATAGCACAAGTTTGTGTTGTTCCCTTATTCCTAGTTCATGAAGCAATGAACTTAGCCAGGTTATTTCAGCATATGTGAGGGCTAGAGATCTGTACTCTGATTCGGCACTTGATCTTGACACGATGCTTTACTTTTTTGAAGACCAAGGATGAGATCCTCACCTAAGTAGACACAGTACCCACTAATGGATTTTCTATCTTCTGGGTCGCTTGCCCAATCTGCATCTGAGAATGCTGAGATTGATAGGTTAGTCGTTGGGCGTATGTTTAATCCCAAATATATAGTTCCTTTGAGAAACCTTAATATTATTTTTAAAGCTTGTAGATGGTTGTCTTTTGGATTTTAGAGAAACTGACTTAGACGGTTCACTGTGAAGGCGATATCTGGACGAGTGTGACACAGGTTGTAACGACCCGACTTTATGGGATTAAACTTCTAAGGGACGTTACTTCATGCATGCTTTCAATATTTTCAAAGTTTTTTTTTTAATAAATGATAATAAATAAAACAAAATACAATCTCATAACATAACCTTATAAAATAAAATAAAAACTTTATTTGGGATCCCATAGAAAAAATTTACCTAAAACATAATATCTAAATGACTCTTAATACAATAAAAAAAACATGAAACTAATGCTGAAGCGAAAAACCCATGGCACCGCATACATCCTCGTCACACACTTGTATGTCTTTATTAATCCTAAAAAAATGAGGGGGAAATGGGTGAGTATTAAAAATACCCAATAAGTAACTCAGCTAACGGGGTCAGATATGCATACACATGCAACATGAACATGTGGAACCTAAACATTTATTCAGTCGTATTCTTTTTCTTTTCCTTTTCCTTTCCTTTCCTTTTGGTCAAAGTGAGCAATTAACTCAACCCTACAGAGACGATACCAACTCCATTATGGTACATAGGTGGGTTTCCAAAGAGACTCTAGTCAAACTGATGGTAGTAGGCACCCAGTCAGCAGAGCCAAGTCTCACCCACCTAGGTACTCAATTTCAGTCTAGTTTGTGCATTACAGTAGGGTGGTTGCCACAATCTATATATATAAAAACATTTTTCATATAAAGATCATGCATGAGGTCCTATATTTAAATATTCTGTAATGCAGCATAACAATTCACATAACATTCAATTCACAAATAACAATCATCATATGGCCATTCAAAATATCATATAAAAATTTCAACCTAATCCTAAGGCATTTTGAAAGCAGAGCCACTTACCTCATTAACGATCCAAAACAAAATGTTGGTTCAATCTACGAAATTTACTAGCCCAACCTAAATCAATTTTTCAACAGTTAACTAAAATTAAAAAAAATAATAAAATTTAATTGATGAAAATTAACACCTGGTATAAGAATTACCAAACCAAAAAATTATTCGTGACTTATCAGATTGACGTTGGATGCGGGTGCACGAGGGAGGAGAAAATAAAATAGTTTTACCAGAGAGAAAATTGAGAGGGAGGAAAGGGAAAAACTTAACGATATAACCTATGGTTTGTGATATTCTCTTTTAACTAATTCTAGCTCAACCCATGTTTTATTCGTTTTTTTAGATTTCTTTTATCTTTTTTTCCTTTTATTTTATTTTCTTAATATGTTTTATCTAATACAATCTTACCTAATAAATGTTATCCTTTTTTTTAGAAAAGATAATAACAAAGAAATAAAAAAAAACTAGATTATAAAAAATCTCTATTGTAACGAAAATTTTTAAAAAATATTTATCTAGTTTATGGATTTAAACTACTAAAATATTATATATAAAAAAAATACGGGGCGTTACACATGTACTATAAGTTGTTGACTATACTTTGATATTCTTTTGCATTTTCAACCGTGTCTTCACTTTTTTAGTATAGTTCTTTTCCAACTATCATAGAAGTTGGACTGGCCTTGAGGTTTTCCAGATTTAATTTTTTCAGAAGGTTTGCAACATAGTTCTTTTGACTTAGATGGAAGACTTTTTCTGTTCTTTTAACTTCAATTCCAAGAAAAAAATGTAACTCTCCCATATCTTTCAATGAAAATTTACTGTTGAGCTCTTCTGTGAATTTTTTCATGTGTTTGCTATCATTTCTTGTCACTATTATGTCATCAATATAAATTAGGAGTCATATCACACACTTCTCTTTGTTGTATATGAACAATGAGTTGTCTGTTTTTCCATTTTCGAATCCCCAAGCTATGAGCGTTGATTTCAACTTGTCATACCAAGCCCTAGGGGCTTGTTTTAGGCCATAAAAGGCTTTTTCTAGCTTTTACACATAGGTAGGATACTTAGGATCAACAAACCCTTCAGGTTCGTTTATATAAACAGTCTACTCACCATTTAAGAAAGCATTATTGACCTCAAGTTGTTTGATCTCCCACCTATGGGTAACAGTTATGGTGAGAATAACTGGAATGGTTGGAGCCTTTACCATTGGACTAAAGGTTTCCAAAAAATCAACTCCAGGTGTTTGGTGAAAACCTTTAGCAACAAGCTTAGCTTTATGCATTTGCACAACACCATTTAAACCTCTTTTCACCCTAAAAACCCATTTATTTCTTACAACATTAAGTTTGGGTTTGTTGGGTACTAACCTCCAAGTTTTATTTAGCATTAATGCTTCAAATTCTGATTGCATGGTCATTTTCCACTGTTTTCTTAATAAGACTTCTTCAATAGTATTTGGTTCCTTGTCAAATAGCTCCTTAGTTAGATCATGACACTGAGATTCAACTTTGTAGGCACTGTATTTAGGCATAAAGATCTCGACTTTGACTCTTGTCATAATTGGATGTTGATTTACTGCCACTTTAGTAACTTATCTGTTACCATCCTCAACCTCTACGGGTGTAACTGTAGGCTCTCTATTGCTATCATTTACATGGTGATTTTTGCTCTAGAATAGACGGAATGAGATTGTTTTCCCCCTCCAAACCATCCAAGGGTGGACTAGGAGAGGAGGTTGAAACCGACTGCACCAGGAGGCGTCATGGGAGTACCCGAGACCAGACTATACCGAGTGAAGGAGCTGGACAAGGGTGCTAATGGTTTCGATGAGAGCTAATATCAATGATTTGGTTTTTGGATTGACTATAATACATAAAGGTGTCTCATTGAATTATTTTAAATTAAATACATTTGGAATACTTGATCATAGTTTTGTCGTTGGCTTAGTGGTGTCATGCGTTA